ACGAATCTTAAAGTTATGCAACAATAAACTGAAACACCCTGTATATACAGAATTTATTTGTTCGTTAGTATGCATTCCCGAAGAAAGTGTAAATTTGAAATCTTATTTCACAGTCGCGTGAAAAAATGTCTGAGAAATGGAAGTAACCGGTTATTTGGATGCCATGAAAATTCGTTCATTCCAGTAGTTGGTCATAATCCACATTATCTGTTATCTTTCCTTGTCCGTCCACTAGCTGGGGCTTCAGTCGTATATTAATTTGTTCAATTCCTAGAGAAAAGTTTAACAGTTTCTATGTTTAAAAAGATTGATAACGACCACGTCAATCGGACAGGTGTCCGACTATTGGATTTTGACTAGTATGGTGATGCAGTCAGTGGCCAATCAAAATGTTAAAATAAATTAAGACTAATTTATTTCATTAATTTTGAATGTCTACGATTCTTCTTGTCAATATGACAGCTGTGGATGTGAAATTTTGACTTATCCATTTACTTGTTTTCGTATATAAGTTTGCACACTTGGTAATAATGTCCGAAATTATAATAAAAAAAGAATGTTAGCGGTTTTAAACAAACACATCTGTATGGACATTGAGTGCAAGATTGGATCTTGTCAATAAAATAGCAGCAGATTTAGACGAGAAGATGAAAATTGCTTGTAGACCTTAGAAAGGCATTGATGTAACTTTTAATATATAATTTTTTAATTTATTGAAGTCACATCTAGTCGACACCAAGCAGTGTGTCAAAATAGGAAACAACAAAAGTCAATATTTGAAAAATCTGTCTGGTGTACCGAAAGGGTCAGTCCTGGGGCCTCTTTTATATTCTCTCTATGTTTTAAGTAATCCTAATTGTGTTTACTTTTGCAGATGATACCGTATTGTTATATTCGGGGGAGACTGGAATACGTTTGGAGTCTCATAAATAACGATTTGAATCTGTATTACGATCGGTTATGCAATAAGTTGAAGATAAATCGAGAAAAAACTGAGTTTATGATGTTTAAACGGAAAAACAAGCATTAAAATTAATGATGTTAGAATCGAGCAGACAGGATGTATGTAGTATTTAGGTTTAATGATAGATAATAATTTATCCTGGCATGAACATGTTAACCATGTAATAAATAAGATCTCTTCAATGTTCGGAGCTCTATATAAAAATACATCACTTCTTATTATAACAGAGTTAAGTATAACATCTAAATCGCATACTTTCAATCATGTTTTACGCACCTTTTACAAGTATGGGGAGTGTGTTAGTAAGGTTCAAAATAAGTCTCTAGAAATTTTGTTTATCCTGGACTGGCTTACACCTATATGAGGAATTAAACATCTTTAACATGGATTAGCTATTTGAGTTGGAACAATGTAAATTTTTAAATAAATCACTCGTATTATACTCCTTTGGACGAGCTGTTAAAGTTTTCGATAACCACCCAGCTTGGTATCGTATAGTGTGTGGACGACTTTACACATTAAAGGTAGAAGGCAATATTTTGCATAAGTACACTCTTACAACTTGAACTCTAGCTTTCGATGGTCTATGTCTTCATCATCTGGAGTTAAAAAACAATAAGCAATTAGGAGGAAAAAATATAATTGTTTACTAAGTCGGCGAGATTGTTGCTGAAATTGCTCTTAAACGGCAGTGAATCGGAATTGTTCGTCGACTATGTATTCCCTTTCACTGTCGTTTAAGAACAATTTCAGCAACAATCTCGCCGATTTAGTAAGTAATTATATTTTTACTCCTAATTGCTTATTGGTGCTATTTTTCAAAAATTGTTTTTTAGCTCCAGACGATGATGGCATATACCATCGAAAGATAGAGTTCAAGTTACACGAGTGTACTTATGCAAAACTCTGCCTTCTACCCAAAGAAGTTCAAGGATAGAATAGAATAGAAATTTATTGGCTTCTCAGTTATAAACAAAAAACAAAGAAATTTATAACAGAGATAACACGTCATTGTGATACAGTGTAAATAACACACAATTCTTCTAAAGTACATACAAAAACAAACATTCATTGACAACATACAACAACAGCAATATTAATGCTTACGGTTTCACTAGAGCACAGAACTCTTCAATACTATATGGTTCCATATCGCATATACAGGGTGTCCGCAAAGTTGGGGTTTTCCATTTCAGAAACAACTAGTCTTGAAATAACAAAGGTAATGTGTAGTGAAACGAGGGCGACCAAGTAAAAAAAAATAAAGGAAAAAGTACTCACTCTCCAGTTGACGAGAAGGGCTAAGTACGTCTCTGTCTGAAATCGAAAGTTATTCACCCCATTACGCGTGAACGTAGATTCGTCTGTCACCAATATGCACTTCAAAAAGTCCGGATTATTGTCATGTTGATGCAACAACCACTCACAAAACCGCACTCTTGCTGGAAAATCGTCAGGTTGAAGGGCTTGTACACGTTGGACGTTTGCCACACTTTAGTTTTTGATACTTGCACTTCTCTAGCCGCGTCTCTAGTGCTTGTTGAGGGATTCTCGTCTACGCGATTCAGTAGTTCTTCCTCGACTTGCACCGTTCGTGGTTGTCTAGGCCTCCCACTGTGCCCACCTCGAAATTCCTCCAAATGGCCCGTATCTCTGACTCTCTGGACCAGGTACACAAATCTGCGGGGCCTTGGATGATGTCGTCTAGGGAAACGATCTGCATACACTCGCGACGATTCTGTAGCATTTTGAAGACATTCGCCATAAATTAACAGCATATCAACGAGTTCATTATTTGTGTATGAGTGTGCCATTATTATTTTTTTTTTGAAACGCAATCGATTATACGGGTTCGTTACCTCTATACGCGTGACCCTTTACCGTCGGTTGAAGGTTGCATACTGACCTGATACACTGACCCCGACCACCGACCCAGTTCTGTCGTCGGGTTCAGCTAGTAGCCGGTACCAGTCTGGGATATCGCGGCGGGTCGCGGCTACAGGACGGTATTCAGATATTTTTGATGTTGCAGAGCCCTTTATCTCGGTTCCCTTAAGACATTGGTGCATATGGTACTAAGAAAAATTGCTTATGTTTTCAAGATCTACACGTCGTGTAAAGGAAAACCCCAACTTTGCGGACACCCTGTATATTTATGAATGCTGTTTTTGAATATAGTGAATGCTGAAATGGATTGAAGATGTCGAGGTAAAGCATTGTAAAGTTTCAGTGCAGAGTAATGTGGACACTTTTCGGTAGAATTTAGCTTATGTGATGGGTAGAAGTATTTCTGACTTTTGCGAGTATTGTAACTATGGTTGAAGACGTTTTTTTCAAACTTTCCCTCATGGCTAAAGATAAATAGTAGAGTGTTATAGACATAAATTCCCGGTAATGTTAATAAACGGTTGACATGACTCTCTAGGTTTCATTTTGAACATTGTTCTTATTATCCTCTTTCGTATGATGAAAATTCTGTTGGCTGCGGGACTATTACCCCAAATTGTTATTTGATAAGACATAATAGAATATGCAAGCCCATAATAGGCAGACTGACAAGTGAGTAATCGTAGTGCATAGCATGCTTGATTGAGTTTTGAAGCCATACTCTCAATGTGCTTCTCAAACTTAAGACAGCTATCGTAGGTGACACCCAGGAGGTTTGTATCGCTTTTGATAGAGGTTCATTAATTAAGGGTAGTTTTTTGGTGGCACGGCTTGACTGAAATAGGACACAACACGTTTTTTGTATGTTGAATGCTAAACTTATTCATCTGCAGCCAGTTTTGAATATGGTTTATTTGGGCCTCTATCAAGATGCGGATATCAGACGTTCCTTTATATGGTATCAGCATAGTTATATCATCTGCGTAGATGAAACTTAGATTTTGCGTGTTTTTTGTGGTGGTGAATGTATCATTAATATAAATAATAAACGATGTTGGGCCCACTGTACTGCCTCAAGGAACACCAGTACAGTAGATATATATATATGTATATATATATACATATACATATTTTTCACCTATATATATATATACATATATATATATATAGGTGAAAAATTAAAGCTTCCGCCTTTTGTTAGCTACTTCGACAAAATTTAAGCAAAGAGGACTCTTTATACTTTTTTTAACTCTCTCTAGCGTTCAATGGACTTTGCCATCATCATCAGGAGCTGCAATTACAATGATAACAGTAGCAACAAAAGTGTAAAATGCATTTAAATTGACTTAACTTACAGTGGTATGTGAGGATGCTGCTAATTGTTGTTAACGTTCAGGATGAGGGAAACGTCCAGTAAAATGGTGAGAGCTGGATACATGGTACAATGGTTAAAATTATATAAAATATGACAAGACAAGTTAAAGACAGATTAAAAATTATTTAGAAAACATTAGAGCATTACGTCGTGAAGCCACTTGATGATTGCACAAAATGGTGGTCGTGGAATAATGAGTGAGATGAACCTTTGACAGAAGGCCGAAGGTTGTCAATGTCTGTGTTGAAAGATGGAACGAATTGTGGGCGTGTGCCAAAACGTTGCCAAATCACTTCAGATGATGTGATTTTCAGAATGTTATGTAAGAATTGTTAAACCGACCAGAGGCAGTTGAATAAACTATATTTTAATTAATGGGAATTTTAAATTAACAATTATTAATAAATCGTCAGAAGAGAATTATTAGATTTTGAGTGGACTGAAATTTGTTGGTGGAATCGGCCAAAACACAGGTTATATTTATGGTTGTGAAAAGTCGAAATTTGGGGAGATATGTAAGTTCTCCAATTTTTCGCAGTTTAGCAAATATGAGTAAATGATTAGTCATAGTGTAATTACATAGCGCAAAACACGCCTACACAATAACTTTATTCTGCAAGTAAAAAGTCTAGAACTCTTCTATGCAGATTTCGTTATAAGGTCAGCCTTGCGAATTGGCATTTGAGCACATCAATAGGAATAGTATTGTTGAAATAAAATGATGTCATCACCAAACATATGCTCATAAATCTATATCTATAACACTTGTAAGAAATGGAGAAGTTAGGAAGGCTTCTTCTTGATAAATTTGCAACATATTTCCTGAATGATTTGGATAATACACCACTAAAACTAGCCTGGAGTGGAGCTGCTGAACTAACCAATGTTGTGATCAAACCATCCATTTTGGAGGACTTGAATCTACCTGTTCAAGTTATACATGGTTCAATAGGGAAACTTGCAATGAAAATACCATGGCATTCAATTTATACATCACCAACTACAGTGCTGATAGAGAATGTGTATCTGGTGGTTGCACCCAATCAACAGGTGGCATACGACCCTGTTAAAGCAGAAAAATTGATGCTACAGGTAAAGCAGGCTGAATTAAGGAAGATTGAAGAAGCTTAGAAAATGGAGGAAGAAAAAGACCAGCCTCAGCAAGACCCAAATCTTGCGCAACGGTTTTTGTTTGCAATGATAAGAAACATACAGTTGACTATCAAGAATGTCCATATTCGATATGAAGACAAAGTTACCATATTTGCTAAACTGCGAAAAATTGGAGAACTTACATATCTCCCCAAATTTCGACTTTTCACAACTATAAATATAATCTGTGTTTTGGCCGATTCCACCAACAAATTTCAGTCCACTCAAAATCTAATAATTCTCTTCTCACGATTTATTAATAATTGTTAATTTAAAATACCCATCAATTAAAATATAGTTTATTCAACTGCCTCTGGTCGGTTTAACAATTCTTACATAACATTCTGAAAATCACATCATCTGAAGTGATTTGGCAACGTTTTGGCACACGCCCACAATTCGTTCCATCTTTCAACACAGACATTGACAACCTTCGGCCTTCTGTCAAAGGTTCATCTCACTCATTATTCCATGACCACCATTTTGTGCAATCATCAAGTGGCTTCACGACGTAATGCTCTAATGTTTTCTAAATAATTTTTAATCTGTCTTTAACTTGTTCTTGTCATATTTTATATAATTTTAACCATTGTACCATGTATCCAGCTCTCACCATGTTACTGGACGTTTCCCTCATCCTATACGAAAACAACAATTAGCAACATCCTCACATACTACTGTAAGTTGATTCAATTTAAATTCATTTTACACTTTTGTTGCTACTGTTATCATTGTAATTGCAGCTCCTGATGATGATGGCAAAGTCCATTGAAAGCTAGAGAGAATTAAAAAAAGTATAAAGAGTCCTCTTTGCTTAAATTTTGTCGAAATACCAACAAAAGGCGGAAGCTTTAATTTTTCACCTATATATATATATATATATATATATATATATTGCTTTTCCTGTTGCCTATGTTAATATCTAGCTTGCTGATTACTGAATTACACCCAACATTAAATAATTATATTAAGCAAAAAATGAGCATACCGAAAGATTGTTCAAATCATCATCAAGCATCGATTTAACTGGCCACATGGTAGATGGTAGTTAGAAAAGATAAATTAATATCAATAAACATTGCAGATGACATAAAATACAACCTCCAATCGTTTTGCTGTATTTATCTGCACCAGTCTTGCTTGATGTTAATGACTACTTTATTTTATGAATAGTTACCACGGAAGAATGAATACAATCCAACGAAGTCCTTGCATCGACATCAAAATGTCAGCTTTATATCTTATACCTATGTTCGTAATAATGAATTACCTAACCCAACACTGTAACACAAAAGCTACAAGTTGTAAGCATTTGCTGTACACTTTTAGTTATTCCATAACACCTTTTGTGATTACCGTGCAGCACCAGTAATTACGGAAGATTTTTTTATATGCTGGGATGTATTACTGATCAATCACAACATTGTATTGTCGAAGAAACAGCGTCCGATGATTCCTTCAGCCGACATGGCTGCCCAAACTGTAAGATAACGCGAATGCAAAGGTCGATGGTGTTTTAATTTGGGATTTTCCGATAATTTTGCTTCTCGACAAGTACACTGAAATGAAAATGAGCTTTACCAGAAAGAAGAATATTGTTCAAACTTAGGAATTGCTCTAACATTGTGTCGGCAAACGCACGGCGTAGATGGGGGTCCTGCGGTTTCAATTCCGGCACTAGTTGAAGTTTGTATGGGTGGGCTTTTACCAAAATACGCCTTACAGATGTTCTTGATATGGCGAGCTCAGCTAATCTCTTTCGGGATGATCACTGTCGCATATTCGCTCACAGTTTCATCTGACATCCGCCTTCCACGAGCAATGCGGTTTTGAAGCTCGTACTCTGGTCGACCCTGTAACTGTAAGTACAGCTAATTACTTGTAGCTTGTAGACTCAAGACATTTCTAACGCTTGTGTTATATGCCCAAAAATGAAAGACTATTTGCTACACTAACTAAAGTTTCAAAGCCTGAATAAATGTCTGTTTAACGGTGATTTTATAAATGGAAACTTTATTCCGTAATTCCTATCGGACTATCTTATTATGTATTTCTCTGGTTCAGTGAATAACTGCTAGGCCTAAGATTATTTAACAAAATAACAAATGCGAATTCTGCATTTTATTTAGAACGAGATAAACAATAATATTATGCACTTATTTTTCTACTTTGTCAGCATCTTTCTAGTGTAAAGTCTATTATCTATCGCTTAGTTACAGATACATATTTTCATTACTAACATTTTACTAAAATGAAAACATTAAATAATCAATATATGTATAAATGATGTCTGAGATGTGCATGGAGTTAGACTATTTTTTGACCACCAGAGTGGCCTTGAAAAAGGAAATAAATATTAACGAAGCGTCGGTAACTTCAAAAAAAAAAGAAACTGTGTTTTGCTATAAATAAAAAGGCTCATAAGGAGATTAATGGAATCTTTTAATGGAGATTTTTACGTACTCGCACTGACGTTATTTTCTCTGAATGTTTCCACCTATAACCACAAACGCGATTCAGGTACGATATAGCTAATTGGTATGCATATCTTTCAGTTACGGCTTTGTTTGGGAAATCAAATGTATGACCGCGTAATTATTCCCATCGACAAAATATGTTGTCACCTTGTATAAGGAATTTAATTTGAGAAACGAAAGTTGTTGTTGCCTGCAAGCAACTGTATTCTTATACGCGTCGTCCAGCTGGCTTTGCTTTCGATGGGATAATAATATAATTTAAGATCTACTGTAGATCGTTTACTGCTCTCTTGTTAGTCTGAATTGTAGGACTTAAATAATCGGGAAAATCTACAGCCTGTGATGATCTTTCCCAGTATTATAAATTCCAATTTTTTCTTAGACAGAGGGACGGATAGCAACATCCTAGGTAGTGACAGCAAGACGTCACTTTCATCAATTCGTAAACGTATCTATTAAATCCACAACGAATGTACTTATTAAATTTACAATGAATGCTCAAACGGTCTTCCCTCAGCAGGAATACAAACTTGACGTCTTCTTAAAAATGATCTGGTTATCAGACGGGCGAATCGCCCTATTTACTCCGTCAAAAGGTCTATTATCGCTAATTTAGTTACAGTTACTGAATACATATCACAAGCTGTTGATTTAGTACCCAATAATAAATATACTTTTAACAAATTAACAGATTTTGGATTTTCTGATGAGGCTGTGAAATTTATGATATCATTCTGATCAGATAGGAAACAATTTGTCTCGTATAATGTGTATTAAGTCAGAAGCCTATGTAGGTACATCTGGAGTACCACAGGGATCAAACTTGGGACGGTAATACTTTATATAATTTCTCTGCCTCTGGTCGGTTTAACAATTTCTTACATAACATTCTGAAAATCACATCATCTGAAGTGATTTGGCAACGTTTTGGCACACGCCCACAATTCGTTCCATCTTTCAACACAGACATTGACAACCTTCGGCCTTCTGTCAAAGGTTCATCTCACTCATTATTCCATGACCACCATTTTGTGCAATCATCAAGTGGCTTCACGACGTAATGCTCTAATGTTTTCTAAATAATTTTCAATCTGTCTTTAACTTGTCTTGTCATATTTTATATAATTTTAACCATTGTACCATGTATCCAGCTCTCACCATGTTACTGGACGTTTCCCTCATCCTATACGAAAACAACAATTAGCAACATCCTCACATACTACTGTAAGTTGATTCAATTTAAATTCATTTTACACTTTTGTTGCTACTGTTATCATTGTAATTGCAGCTCCTGATGATGATGGCAAAGTCCATTGAAAGCTAGAGAGAATTAAAAAAAGTATAAAGAGTCCTCTTTGCTTAAATTTTGTCGAAGTACTCGTACCCAACAAAAGGCGGAAGCTTTAATTTTTCACCTGTATTATTATATGTAGATATAATTTGAAAATTACACGACCTATTTTTTTTGTATTCTTTTGATAACTATTATGACTTTGCCTATCTCCCGTTTCCGGCATGACGTCGATTTCTGGAATTATGCAATGCTGAGAGAATTTTCGTATACTTGACTAGCCAGGGTGGGTATTGACTTTCTCAAAAACGCTTAACGACTCAAGCGCGATAGGCGAATACGACACGTACGACACACCCAAAGCTTGCAAGTGTCCTCTTATTCTTTTATCGCTTTCAAAACGTTAAAAGTCTATCTGAAATCCCGATATAAGTTTACTCAAAATTGCACAAGTATACGCCACGCTTTTTAACGTGTTTCGTTTATTTATCGTCAGAGTATGCCACTGCGTATAAGTTAACTTGCTTGGACAAGTCTAGCTTATTGTTTACTTATCAGATCACTGTATACACACAACAATCATTGTTTATAGTGGAGCTCGGCGCTTCCGACATATCAATCTAAATAAATTGATAATCAGAATAATTTAGATCGCCAGTCTTAGGTCTTTTTACGAGTTCGAATTACTTATGGTAGACCGTTCTATGAAACATCAATTTTGGTTTATGAAAATTAATCACGCTGGATGAACAGCTTTTCCATATAATAATAAACGGCTTTATTGGCGGAATTTTGCAAAGCTTTTCTTACAATCAACAAGCAGGCTAAAACTAAAACTTAATAATAATTTGACGTACAAATATGAAATATTTACGTATATGGTAAACGATTGCATGTGAATCTTTAAACAAGAACAAGAAAAATAATCGTAATGGTTTAGAAGCAAAGGACCTCTATGGTGTATTGCTATGAGATGCAGTTTGGAATTTATGTATGATTATCTGAGGTATTAATATTTCTGCTATACCTATTAAAGAGGGACACTGTATTGTACGTGAATGACCTAAAAAGGCATAGGCATTGTAAAATGGTTTTGATACCTTGTATTGCCCGAGAAACTAGCTTTTCTATCAAAGATACATGGTTGTTAGAGTACACGATTCAGAGTAAAAGTAATAGGGTAAAAGATGGGGTTCTAGAACTTCGTGGATATAACGCTGCGCGTTCATGTTACCTCTGATGAAGATTAAAGGTGACCTGGAAC